CTCTCTCTCTCTCTCTCTCTCTCTCACTCACTCTCTCACTCACTCACTCACTCACTCTCACTAACTCTCTAACTCACACACTCACTCACTCACTCTCACTAACTCTCTAACTCACACACTCACTCACTCACTCACTCATACTCTCGCTTATTTACACTCATTCACTACAAATAATCACCCAGTTTATTTTAATGATTTATATACGGTTAGCTAACAAATGCATGGTATTATTTCGGTCAACTCTATTGTGTGCTTATATTGTCACAAATATATTTATTCAATTAATAAATAACATTAATTTTAGGTCCGACGGAAGCGCCGCGTTTACTAAGCCTATACCCGACACAATCACCTCGTGGTTCATCAGCGCGTTCGCAATGGACAATGAGACGGGACTGGGAATCGCTGCCAAAAGTGCAAAAGTATTAACTATTAAATAATTAATCTTGTTCAGCAATATAATAAATTAATAATTATTATTATTTAATCAAGGTGACAGTTTTCCGGCCATTTTTCATCAAACTATCGCTGCCTTACTCTATAATAAGGGGCGAATCGGTGGCACTGAAAGCCATTGTTTTTAATTACATGAACAAAGAGATTGAGACCGAAGTTGTGATGAACAACAAAAAGGGTGAATTTGAGTTCACAGATACAGGCAATGAACTGCACGGTCGGTCCACCCGATCGGTCGACGGCCAGTCGGGCACTGAAATGAGAAAGAAAATTAAGATTCCGGCCAACGATGGGGTGTCCGTCGAGTACGTGATTACACCCAAAACTGTGGGCTATATTGACATACAATTAACGGCCACCACATCTGCCGGCGCCGGAGACTCAGTGCTCGACAAACTGGTGGTCAAACCCGAGGGTCAGACACAGTATTTCAATAAAGCATTACTCGTGGATCTCAGACCCGATGCCAACGCCACTGCAGGCGCTGCAAAGCCGTCGGTTAAGAAAAACATGTCGATCTCAATGCCCGCTAACGCAGTGCCCGGATCTGAGAGGGTGTCGGTGTCGGCCATCGGAGACATTATGGGTCCGGCGGTTAACAATTTGGATGATTTGCTTCGTATGCCATACGGCTGTGGAGAACAGAATATGCTGTGAGTTATGAACATATTTTTCAACAAATTCTACTTTATGTTTACAATTATTTTGTATTTTACAGTAATTTTGTGCCGAATATCGTTGTATTGAATTACTTGAAAGCAACCAATCGTTTGACACCAACTCTACGTCAAAAGGCGTTGAAAAATATTGAGAGCGGATATCAAAGGGAACTTACGTATAGACGAGGGGACGGCTCGTTCAGCGCCTTTGGTAACAGTGACCGCAACGGCAGCACTTGGCTCACGGCGTTTGTGCTCAAGTCGTTCATTCAGGCAAAGGGTGTGACAGAGATTGACCAGAAAGTGATCGATGGGGCCATCAATTGGCTCTTTGAACGCCATACAGTGACCGCAACGGCAGCACTTGGCTCACGGCGTTTGTGCTCAAGTCGTTCATTCAGGCAAAGGGTGTGACAGAGATTGACCAGAAAGTGATCGATGGGGCCATCAATTGGCTCTTTGAACGCCAGCACTCGGACGGCTATTTCGAGGAACCGGGAGTTGTGTTGCATAAGGCAATGCAGGGCGGGTCCACTGGGGGTAAGGCTGTGCTCACAGCCTATGTGCTCATCGCTATACTCCAGGAGCCAAAGACTAGGGGCGACAATAACACTGTGAAAAGTGATGGCTTTGTTAAGGCAGAGACTTATATACGAAATGCGTTAAACGAGACCCAAAACCCGTACGACTTGTCTATTATGGCTCACGCGTTGCATTTGGCCGACAGTCCGGCCGCCGGTCAGGCGTTTGACAAACTGATGGCGTTATCCAAAAACAGTGGCGAATACAAGTGGTGGGAAGCGAGTGACCAAAAGTCGGAAGGAGTGACTGATTATAGCCCTAAAATCATGCCCTTTGGAGGCAATAGTCATTACCCGAACTCGTATGCCGTGGAGTCGACGGCCTATACTTTGTTGACATTAGTGGGCAAAAGTGATTTGGAGACAACAGTTCCGGTGCTTCGATGGCTTATCTCCAAACAGAACTCAAACGGAGGGTTCGCCTCCACTCAGGACACTGTGATCGGCATTCAAGCGTTGGGATCGTTGGCCCAGAGATTGTCCACTACTAAGCCCTCAATGGATGTTATGGTTAAATATATGTCACCCGAGGCTAAGAGCGAAGAGATGAAGATTGACGACACAAACTCATTGGTTTTACAGCGCATACAATTGCCCTCAAATACCACTAACGCCGAGATCGAGGCCCGCGGGGTTGGGGCGGCTATAGTACAGGTGTCCTATCAGTACAATTTGGCCAATGATGCGGAAAAGCCCGCCTTCTTCTTGAAACCAGTGGTGGACAACACGTCGACCGATAACTATATGCGACTCAATGTCAGCACACAGTTAGTGACCATTACTTACAGAATATTCTTTTAAATTTTTATTTAATTCAAATATATTTAAACATTTGACAGTCTTTTGGAGGGAAATGCGACAAATATGGCGGTAATGGAAGTGGAACTTCCCTCAGGGTTTGTGGCCGATAAGGACAGTCTCCCGGCCCTCGACTCCCTTATTAAACGTATCGATACGACAAAAGGCGACACAAATGTCATCATTTATTTTGAAAAAGTCTATCATTTAATATAATTTATTTTTTATATTTATTAATAAATTTTACTTTGTTTTGTAGATAACTGGCGAAGACATAGGCGTGACGTTAGGCGCTCATAGAGTGCATAGAGTGGCCAACAATAAAGCGGTTCCCATCACTGTATATGACTATTACGATAGACAGCAAACGGCGCGCGTATTATACGAACCAAATGTTATAAGTGTTAAGAATATGACTGCAGGCCTATAGGAAACAGTATTGATTGTGAGAGATTTGAGCATGCTTTTCTAAATTGTTGGATTAGTAACTATTTTTGCATCATGTTATTACTAAATATTAAACTAATAATCACTTATTTTGCTTTAATAAGGAAAAATAAAATAAATTGAATTAAATATAATACTTATTATTTTAAATAATGCATAAGTGATTTTAACTTATATAAGTGTTTTATATAAGCATATTTAATAAGTAATAAGTTAAACCCTTTACAATAAGGCTAAAATGTTGTAAAACACTTTTGAAATATATTATTAAAAGAACTAATTGCGATATTCTAACACTGTTTATAAAAATAAATAAATCAAGATCACTCATACATTAATGCTAGACAGTAAAATTATATAAATAATGTTTTGGTCTATTTTTGAATCATTTTTAGTACAAATGTTTATAAAGAGAATATTGAGAATATACAGAGATGTTCGACATTTCTAAGAATCTTAAAAATAATAAATATCAATTTTACTTTTATTATTAGGGTAACCACCATGCTAATAAAAAAGATAACTCACCAAAAATAATTTTTTGAAGAGCACGTAAAAATTATAATGCTTAATATTTCCATTAAATTAGCATTGTACATATACCATGCCCTTGTTATCCCTATTCCATAGGCTTAAGCTGTTATCCCATTGAACTCTATGTTAAAGCGTCACTTGTTAAACCTATGAGAGATTACCATATTAAAGTATAGCCATATGATTAGAAGGGGATCCCATGTTAATTCTCATAGGATGGGGGAAGGTAGGTGGGCCGAACCATATTATAAACCACATTATTAATACTGACTTGTGGTTAAAAAGGACAAAAGTAAAGTCCTTCCTGAGTACTCAAAAGGACGTTGTTTTGAGAGGTCGACAAAACCCTTAAAAAGGACATTATGGTAAACTTAATTATTATATAAATTTAAAACTAACAAAACGGATAAAAATATAGTTATTGTTGTCCTTTATTTGTTTAAAGTTTTATGGTTCATCCTATTTGTAGGTGGTGAACATAACGACAATACATGGGAGAGTGTTATACAGTATACCTTTTAAAGTTTACTACTATAAACAGTTTACTACTATATAAATTAGTTAAAATCATATTAACTATCACAAATTTAATATACTACTAAGGTCAAAGTAGTTGCAATTGTATGGATAAACCAACTTATATAGTGGTGGCGCCGAAGACTTTGCGGCCAAACGCCGAATACCGGGTGAGTGTCTCGTTATACCACATACCGGCGCCCATTCAAGTGAATGTCTCAGTCGTGGGTCCGGACAACAACACCGCCACTACCGGTCCGGTGGTGTTTGCCGAGTCTGAGACCCAGATGTTAAGTCTGCCGATCGGCGACTGGACAGATGGTTGTTATAAGCTTATAATTACGGGGACAGGTGCTAATTTTAGCAGGTACAACTCACATTCATGGCAAAAGTATGATGATTATGATGAAACATTATTGCCGACAACAACTGAGCCCGAGATAGTAATCGATGGATTCCGGGATGAAGTGTCGCTTCAGTTTCAGCCAAAAACAGTGTCGGTATTCATACAGACAGACAAAGCTATGTATAAACCCGGACAGAAGGTACAGTTCCGGGCACTGGTAGTCACCCCTTCACTACTGCCCGTAAGCAACGCATCCGTCGATATACACATCAAAGTAAATATATTTTAATAAATATTATATTTTATTTAATGTTTAATATCACTTTATTAATTGATAGGACGGAAATGGGAATCGAGTAAAACAGTGGACAGGACTGACACCTTTAAGAGGAGTTGTATCTCAAGAGCTACAGTTGTCTTCAGAGCCAGTGTTAGGCGACTGGGCTATAGTTGTGGAGGTGTTGGGCGTCAAACACCAGAAGGCCTTCTCAGTGGCGGAGTATGTGTTGCCCACGTTTGACGTGGAGGTAGTGTTGCCTAAGTATACCACTCGTGACCGGCCAGACATTGTGGCCACTGTTAAAGCACTTTACACTTATGGACAACCTGTTAAGGGGAACCTCACGTTAACCGCACAGTCAAACGATTGCGGTTTTATTCGTAAATATTAATCCAAGTAGTAAAATAACAATCCGGGAAATGAACATAATTAATAATTTTGGAATAGGTGATTTGATTTTGAATCTGTTATACAGAATTGTGATTTATAACATAAAATTAATTCCATAAATAATTTGCCCGGGTTATTATTAAGGCTGTAATATTTAAATTTTATTAGCAGATAAAACCGTAGATTTTTCCAGATTGTTATTTGATCAACAGCATATTTGTTTATTTAATAATTTAACTTTACTTTGTATAAAATAATAGTATTCATATTTCTATTCATCTAGTAATATATGTTGCAAAAATTATGTTCATATAATTACAGATAAATACAGGACTCGGTATCCAATCTACGGAAGTGTTGACATACCTATCAATCTGATGGACGACTTGTGTCTCACAAATTACTTTCGAAGCATAGATATAGAGGTGACGGCAGTCGTGACGGAGGCGCTAACCGGCCGGTCGTATAACGGGTCAAACACTATGAAGAAATACAATACAAATATAAAGGTACAGCAGATGGAAACATCCCAGACATTTAAACCTGGCCTCAAATACCCGGTGCTCATTAAAGTGACCGATCAGGACGATTATCCTGTGCCCGACAACGGGCCTAAACTTACATTGAAATACACGTTCATGTATGACAAATACAGGAAGACAATCCTCTTAAGTCCAGTCAATGGACTTATTAATGTCGGTCTTTTCCCACCGATTCATACCGAATATATTATACTTGAAGCCCAGTATATGGGGAAAGAGTATAGGGTTGGAGAAGTAAAGAGAGCTCAGTCGCCGTCCGGTAACTACATTCAAGTGGTGCGACTCGAGTCGGACAAAGCGGTGAGTGTCGGCCAACAGCTCCGGTTCGCCGTCAACGCCACCGAACCGATCGGTCGACTCGTGTGCGAAGTGTTGGGAAAGGGAGACATTGTTTGGGCTCAAAGTATTGATATTCCCGACAATAAGATTACTCACGAGTTTGCTTTGGAGGTTAAACCAACAATGGCTCCGACGGCCCGACTGTTGTGCCATTACTTACGAGCGGCCAATCAGGAAGTAGTGGCCGACGGACTCAAGTTTGATGTGAGCGGTACTCTCCGGACACCCGTATCGGTCACTACTGACGTTCAGACCACTAAACCGGGCGCACCCGTAGAGGTGAGGGTGAGTACCAAACCGGACGCATACGTGGGTCTACTCGGTGTCGATCAGAGCGTACTTTTGCTGAAATCCGGTTCCGATATCACTCGCGAAGACGTGGACAAAGAGTTGAAGACATACGACACTGAATACAATCGGCAGAACTCTGTGACCGCCGGCGAGATATTTGATAACACGGGTGTTGTGGTCATGTCTAACGGTCTGATACATCGGTCACCAAAAGAAGAAATAGAAAAGTTGGACATTAGATCCATCGGGAGAATGAAGGGATCGGGTTATGTCGCGCCCTCGCAGTCGGCGTCCGAACTTAAAGTTAGGAAATATTTTCCCGAAACTTGGATTTGGGAAACAGCTATAACTGGGTATTATATCCTACATATCTCTCTCTCTCTCTCTCTCTCTCTCTCTCTCTCTCTCTTTCAAAACATTTTATTAATTATAGTAATGATGGAAGGGCTACATTTACTAAGCCTATACCCGACACAATTACCTCGTGGTTCATCAGTGCTTTTGCAATGGACAATGAGACTGGTCTGGGAATCGCTGCCAACAATGCAAAGGTATTGAACGATTAAATAATTAATTTTATTTAGCATAATCCTATAAAGGATGAAGTTTAATGTTAATAGGCAAAATGCCAAAAAATTATTTTAAAAAATTTTAATTTTTTTAATTTGCAAATTTAATTATCATTGTGAGCATAATTAAAATTGATATAAATGATGTTCGGTAATTACGTTATTTACTATAAAAAACGTACATAACTGATACTAAATTTCTTAAATTTGATATAACTTTTATCAAATTTGTCAAATTTGAGAAATTCCTTTGGATATCGATTCTACTCATCCCTACCTTTCTATTGATATATAATATCGGGGTTTCGTTTATATTTCCGCAGTGTTTAGTAACGGTATATTTGAATGCTTGCCAAATGTGCATGGTAATAGTCAGCAAGGTGATTCATACCTTATTTTTCTCATTCATTATTTGGCTTTATTTGTGTATAATTTTTAAAAAATATTATCTAAAGAAGAGGTGATGGCAGCGGTTCCAAGTGATAAGGAACACATTAGGCATTGTCTTCTTTATGAGTATCAGCTCAAGAGGAAGGCTAAAGAGGCTCACATAAACATTACCACAGTATTCGGTGATGTGTTAAGTATCCGTCAATGCTATGAATGGTTCAAACGATTCATGTCTGGTGATTATGACCTCAAAGACCGCCCCCGATCGGGCCGACCCGAAGACGTGGACAATGATGTTCTGAAAGAACTCGTTGAATCTGATCCCAGACTTTCAAGTGTGGAAATAGGCCTCATATTAGGCTTTCATCATTCAACCATATGTGACCATTTAAAAGCCATAGGAAAGGTGTCGAAATGTGGTATTTGGGTACCACATGATTTATCGCCCGATAATTTATTATTACGGACTACCATATGTACTTCTCTGGTCACCCGACAAGAAACGTGTCCATTTCTCACACGTATTATTACTGGAGATGAGAAATGGGTACTGTATGTTAATGTTGAACGGAAAAGGCAATGGTTAGATGTTGGCCAGAAACCGCTACCGACGGCAAAACCTGGCCTTCACCCGAAAAAAGTTATGCTTTGTGTTTGGTGGGATTGGCAGGGTGTGGTCTATTATGAACTTTTAGATCAAGGTCAGACCATCACCGCTGATATTTATTGTGGACAATTGGAAAATTTGAAGAAGGTATTGGCCACCAAACGCCCCTCATTGACCAATAAATGGGGAGTTATCCTTCAACAGGATAACGCTAGTCCCCATACGGCAAAGATTACCCGCCAGAAGCTAAAAGAGTTTGGGTGGGAGATTCTCCCGCACCCACCTTATTCTCCAGATATTGCACCATCAGACTATTGGTTATTTCGATCTCTGCAGTCAGTCCTTAATGGTAAAAATTTCAAAACAAAACAAGAGGTCGAAACTACCATCAGTGACTTTTTTGCCTCTAAAGATGGTAATTTTTATAGGGAGGGCATTGAACGTCTACCCGAAAGATGGTCAATAGTTGCCGATAATGACGGCCATTATATAATTTGAAATAATGTATTCCTTCACAATAAAAATTAATTTTGAATTTTGATTACAAAAATGCTATTACTTTCCCGAAGGCGTAATATGACATGGTTATTTATAAGATAAAAAATTTGATTTTCAAAATTTCACCGATAAAAGTAGTCACTAAATTATCTAACTAACTAGACCCGAAATTATCTGGACATATGAAGTACGTCACTCGACTACCTATTGAGTTTACTTTCATTTTATAACAATCAATCCAAAGTGCCCGCTATCACACAAATGGGCATCATCTTTTATAATGATTATTTGCCTGTAGGTGACAGTTTTCCGGCCATTTTTCATCAAATTATCGCTGCCTTACTCTATAATAAGGGGCGAATCGGTGGCACTGAAAGCCATTGTTTTCAATTACATGAACAAAGAGATTGAGACCGAAGTTGTTATGAATAACAAAAAGGGAGAATTCGAGTTCACAGACACCGGGAATGAACTGCACGGTCGGTCCACCCGATCGGCCGCCGGCCAGTCGGGCACTGAAATGAGAAAGAAAATCAAGATTCCGGCCAACGATGGGGTGTCCGTCGAGTACGTGATTACTCCCAAAACTGTGGGCTATATTGACATACACTTAACGGCCACCACATCTGCCGGCGCCGGAGACTCAGTGCTCGACAAACTGGTGGTCAAACCCGAGGGTCAGACACAGTATTTCAATAAAGCATTGCTCGTCGATCTCAGACCCGATGCCAACGTCACTGCAGGCGCTCCTAAGCCTTCGGTTAAGAAAAACATGTCGATCTCAATGCCCGCCAACGCAGTGCCCGGCTCTGAGAGGGTGTCGGTGTCGGCCATCGGAGACATTATGGGTCCGGCGGTTAACAATTTGGATGATTTGCTTCGTATGCCATACGGCTGTGGAGAACAGAATATGCTGTAAGTTATGAACATATTATTCAATAGAATATTCTTAATGTTTACAATTATTTTGTATTTTACAGTAATTTTGTGCCGAATATCGTTGTATTGAATTACTTGAAAGCAACCAATCGTTTGACACCAACTCTACGACAAAAGGCGTTAAAAAATATTGAGAGCGGATATCAAAGGGAACTGACGTATAGACGAGAGGACGGCTCGTTCAGCGCCTTTGGCAACAGTGACCGCAACGGCAGCACTTGGCTCACGGCGTTTGTGCTCAAATCGTTCACTCAGGCAAAGGGTGTGACAGAGATTGACCAGAAGGTGATTTACGGGGCCATCAATTGGCTTTTTAAACGCCAACACTCTGACGGCTACTTCGAGGAGCCGGGAGTTGTGTTGCATAAGGCAATGCAGGGCGGGTCCACTGTGAGTAAGGCTGTGCTCACAGCCTATGTGCTCATCGCTATACTCCAGGAGCCAAAGACTAGGGGCGACAATAACACAGTCAAAAGTGATGGCTTTGTTAAGGCAGAGACTTATATACGAAATGCGTTAAACGAGACCCAAAACCCATACGACTTGTCTATTATGGCTCACGCGTTGCATTTGGCCGACAGTCCGGCCGCCGGACCGGCGTTTGACAAACTGATGGCGTTATCCAAAAACAGTGGCGAATACAAGTGGTGGGAAGCGAGTGACCAAAAGTCGGAGGGAGTGACTGATTATAGCCCTAAACTCATGCCCTTTGGAGGCAATAGTCATTACCCAAACTCGTATGCCGTGGAGTCGACGGCCTATGCGTTGTTGACATTAGTCGGCAAAAGTGATTTGGAGACAACAGTTCCGGTGCTTCGATGGCTTATATCCAAACAGAACTCAAACGGAGGGTTTGCCTCCACTCAGGACACTGTGATCGGCATTCAGGCGTTGGGATCACTCGCCCAGAGATTGTCCACTACTAAGCCCTCAATGGATGTTATGGTTAAATACATGTCACCCGAGGCTAAGGTCGAGGAGTTGAAGATTGACGACACAAACTCATTGGTCTTACAGCGCATACAATTGCCCGCAAATACCACTAACGCCGAGATCGAGGCCCGAGGGGTGGGCGCGGCTATAGTACAGGTGTCCTATCAGTACAATTTGGCCAATGATGCGGAAAAGCCCGCCTTTTTCTTGAAACCAGTGGTGGACAACACGTCGACCGATAACTATATGCGACTCAACGTTAGCACACAGTTAGTGACCATTACTTACAGAATATTCTGTAATGTTTTTTATTTTATTTAAATATATTTAAACATTTTTGACAGTCTTTTGGAGGGAAATGCGACAAATATGGCGGTAATGGAAGTGGAACTTCCCTCAGGGTTTGTGGCCGATAAGGACAGTCTCCCGGCCCTCGACTCACTCATCAAACGTATCGATACGACAAAAGGCGACACAAATGTTATCATTTATTTTGAAAAAGTCTGTCATTTAAAGATATTTTATTTTTGATATTTATTAATGAATTTTACTTTGTTTTGTAGATAACTGGCGAAGACATAGGCGTGACATTAGGCGCTCATAGAGTGCATAGAGTGGCCAACAATAAAGCGGTTCCCATCACTGTATATGACTATTACGATAGACAGCAAACGGCGCGCGTATTATACGAACCAAATGTGATTAGTAAAGCTGCTCAGAATATGTATTTATTAGATATCAAATATGTTATATAATATGTATTAAAAATGGCCAAATATTTACTTATATATTTACTAAAAATGGGTCAAATATTTACTTAAATATTTATTTATAAATATCAATACTCTATATAAATTTTAATTAATGTATTCTATGGAGAAAATAACGAAATATTATGCTAGAAATGATCTGTAACTTTTTAAATCCTATTTAAATAGTGTTAATCAGAGTTATAATATAAATTTAAATAATATCAATTGTTTCC